CAGAAGTGCTCTGTGCCACACCCGATTTTTTCGTAATCTGATGTATAAAAGCGGTTTTGTCAACACGTCTTAGGGACGATTCCGAGCGTGTACAGGTAACGGAAAAGGCGCGTTAAGACCGGAGACAATTCAGGAGCTCAAGTACACCCAAAAGGTCAGCTTTCTCCTTCACGGTGTGGAACAGCGAGTACAGTGGTGGAATAGAGGGCTGACAAAAATTATCTTGGACTGAGCTTTGGCGAGAGACCAGAAGGCTCGAGTCCCCGAAGGAGGGTGGACCAATCTTTCGCCAAATCTGAATATATGCCCTGACTTTTCCGAAGCGATTTCCCGTTGAAGGACCTGGCTAGTTATATGCGTTTTTATGTTCACTGGTATTGACATCACGAGATGTCACCGCTTCTGCCCATCCTTTAAAGAAGCCGCTTCCGATGCGAGGCCGCATTAGAAGAACGTTTAACGTTTAACGCCCGCCTCAAACAAGTTCATGTTTAAAAGGGTGCCTACGTTGGTTTTCTCCGTTTGCCCTGAGATCGATTAATATTTAACCTATGTTCGTCATAGAGTGCAGAATCAAGAGAAGGTGAAGGACGCCCAGAGGGGGATTGCCCACGGCGAGAAATATAATGTCTTACAATATGTTTTGTTTGTTGCTAGGGCAATTTTTCTGTTTTATGTAATTGCTATTATATCATTTACTAAGTGATATGTCTATCTTTTTCTTTTTTCTAATAGCCCATCCCCGGGCCGTGGAAAAAACTAGCTAGATTGAAAGAGAGATGGAGAATTTTATTAGTCATAATCTATTTATGTTCTATTATTACAGAACCGAGCCCAGTTCCGATAATCCCACCAAATCCACCAATCAACCCATGTAAGTATTTATTTGTTTAATAAAGATAAGGTAACTTATATGTATTTTTGCTATACCAAATATATTGCGCGTGTGATTTATTTTCAGGCCCGCCACCAATTGTCATTCCGGGACCACCAAGGCCATACCCTGTGCCTGTACCAGTTCCCGGAAAACCAATCATCATTCGCGTGCCAGTACCAGTACCATCCCCACCTATCTACGTGCCGGGACCACCCAGACCTTATCCAGTACCAAAACCTGTGCCCGTACCATACCCGGTTAACCGACCCTACCCAGTTCCTTCCCCACCCAGAATCATCACTGTACCTGTACCCGTTCCTCGTCCTTATCCAGTACCAGGACCAGAAAGGGACATTCCCATACCAGTGCCTGTACCTTCTCCACCTGTGCGTATTCCGGTTCCAGTTCCAGGACCTGTTAGGCCCGTACCTTTCCCTGTACCATCCCCTCCAGTACCTATACCAGTTCCTGTAGAGGTTGACAGATACATTACATTGCCAGGCAAAGACCGATTAGTCCCTGTTCCCTTACCAATCACTCGTAAGTTCTTTATGATTTGCAATATTTTAGTCGTATATTATTTTAGATAGTAGATAATTTGAATATTTTTTTCAGATAACAAGTACTACCCAGTTCCCATTGTCGTCTATGTCGGTATGTTTCTAAGGCATTGGTTTTCTAATAAAAATATAATAATTCGACCATAAAATTTCTTAATAACATACTTGATTTTTTTAAAGCTCCCTTGTGCCGAGGACACGCCCCATTTGTACCATTCCGAGTTCCTGGAGATGTCTGCCAAATTCATACTTGCAAGATTAAATACAACTATGTATACCTAGATACTCAGAGAGATCCGGACTGTGGTAAGTATTATCACACAAGTACAATCCACTTCAGATACATTTTCACTATATCTTCTCAAATCTATATCCCCTCAAAAAGCTGCTACGATGAATTTTTCTGTTAAATACTTGTAATGTTTCAAAATGTAGGCTATTAATAATTATAAATGGAAATTATTTGTGGTTTTACCGTATTGCTGAATTACTTATTATCTTTTTCAGACAACAACCCATATCAACCAATCGGACGTAAGTTTTATACATTTGTGTAGTCTTAATTATTTTATTGAAAAGTTATTAATATTCATTGTTTTTTAGCGTTTATCGGAGGTTCTTCCGCATCAGCTATCGCTAACGCCAACGCTAACGCTAACTCTTGGGGAGGCGCAAGCGCTCAAGCAGATGCAGAAGCCAACGCCAATGCATTATCCGGAGATTGGGGTAGCTTGGGTGGACTCGGTGGTAGTGCGAACGCTGATGCCAGTGCCGAAGCCAATGCTAATGCTTATGGTGGTTTAGACGGTCTAGGTTTCTCGAGCGCACAAGCAAATGCTCAAGCTAACGCTAACGCTAACGCAGGTGGTTTGATAGGCAGTTTAGGAGGGTTGGGAGGTTTAGGAGGGTTGGGAGGTTTAGGAGGGTTAGGAGGCTTAGGAGGGCTAGATTTCGACACGATACGTGGTGGTTTGTCAAATGCTCAAGCTAACGCCCAAGCTAATGCCCAAGCTAACGCTAATGCCCAAAGTTGGGGAGGTGGATATTCAAGTGCCGAAGCTAACGCCGAAGCCAATGCCAATGCTAATGCTAATGCATATGGCGGAGCATTAGGTGGACTAGGAGGTTTAGGTAGTAGTTTTGCCAATGCTCAAGCTAACGCCGAAGCTAATGCTAATGCTTTCAGCGGAGGTTGGGGTGGACTAGGAGGTTTAGGTAATAGTTTTGCCAATGCTCAAGCTAACGCCGAAGCTAATGCTAATGCTTTCAGCGGAGGTTGGGGAGGACTAGGAGGTTTAAGTAATAGTTTTGCCAATGCTCAAGCTAACGCCGAAGCTAATGCTAATGCTTTCAGCGGAGGTTGGGGAGGACTAGGAGGTGGATATTCTAGTGCCCAAGCTAACGCAGAAGCTAATGCTAATGCTAACGCATTTGGCGGAGCATTAGGTGGGCTGGGAGGTTTAGGTGGACTAGGAGGATTCGGTAATAGTTATGCCAATGCTCAAGCTAACGCCGACGCTAATGCTAATGCTTATCGTGGTGGATTAGGAGGTTTGTCTAGTAGTTTAGCTAACGCCCAAGCTAACGCCCAAGCTAATGCCGAAGCTAATGCATTCAGTGGAGGCTATGGAGGACTAGGTGGAAGTTGGGCAAACGCCGAGGCTAATGCTAATGCTAATGCTAACGCTAACGCTAACGCAGGCGGTTTGTTAGGTGGTTTAAGAGGGTTAGGCGGTTTAGGAGGATTAGGAGGTTTAGGAGGGTTAGGAGGCTGGGGTGGTGCCAATGCTCATGCCAATGCTGAAGCCTTAGCAAACGCTAACGCTGGTGGATACGGTGGTGGCTGGTCTGATGCCTCTGCGTCAGCTTTGGCGCTTGCCAACGCCGGAGCATGGGCCAAAACTGCACCAACAGAAGAATGAGAAGTTTTCAAAAATAAGGTAATACCTATATTATGAATAAATTAATAAAGACGTCACAAAAAGTTATTCTTGATGATATTATATAAAATAATTTGTTAAATTGGAATATGTATTTGTTGTTTTTGTAATAGAGTAAATAAATTTTGATTAATATTCATCTAACATTTTTTTTAACAAGCTTGATAGTGAATGAAAATAATATAATATTTCTTTTTTGTTCTAGATACAAAAGATTCTAGTGATCTCCAATTACTGACCCTGCATGAACATGGATAATGATATACTTTTAGTTTATTGAGCATAATAAAAAAGGACAAATTGTACGCTCCATACTCAAAAATAATAAAGTGGGATGAAATTTAATTTGTGTTTAATTCTTCCGTAAAAGTTTTTAATTAAATTGAATACTGTTTTTGCGCCATAAACTGAAATACTTTATGAATGTCGATTTGATAAGTAATAGCCGACTAGAACAAATTATTTTGATGGAACAAATTAGCAACACATCCATTCCTAATGTACACTTCAATTTCATATGTATTACCTATAAATCAATATGACTGACGATTTTCACGGAGAATTATGATGTATTTATAATGAGCTACCTGATTGTAATAAGCGCAGTCGAACTAACTATTTGAAATATAAGCAACAACATTGAGGGGCGGCGAGGAACAGTTTTGGTTTAAGAATGCGGGGAGGCGTTATTGGAAGTATTAGCTTCCTTGCCTTCCTGTTGTTCCATTACACGAATGGTCAAAATATTTTATTAAACTCGCAAACTCAGGGTGAGTGAAATGATAATCTGTACCTACAAAATCATAATTAAAGATATTTTAATACTAAAACATTATTATTTCTGTGTAGATTTAAAAGAAGATTTAAGTGAAGTCAAAACATCGAATGAAGATGTTACATTGAAAAGTACAGAAAGTGATATTCAAAATAATATTTCTGATAGTAATAATAACGACACAAGTACAAAATCACAAGATGCTTTAAAACCCGAGAGTAGAATTTCAGCTGAAACTGACCAAGGATTGTTTTCTTCTCTAGAAGTGACTGAAAACAAAGAAGAGGAGAATTTTAGCAATAAACAACTAAAATCTGCACAAGATGAAGAAAATGATATAAAAGCGGAGGAAAAATCTGGTTACAGTTCAGCGATTGCAACTACAAGCAATTCATTTGGTTATAGCAACAGCTTTGCTAAAGCAACTTCTTTAGCATCAGGCGGATACGGTGGAACCGTTTCACCATATCAAACTCATTTGCCGAACTCAGCTTCTAGCTCGGCTCAGGCATATAGTAATGGCAATGCTCAAGCTGCAGCGTCATCCTATGGCAACTCCTACTATAGATCAACACAAGGTTTTGCTCCGCCAAGTCCGTCCTTGGGTCCAGGATCTTTCACCTGGGAGGATACTAATGCGCAGTCTACAGGCTATGATAGATGGAATCCATTGGTGTCAAGGTGATTATATTAGGTGCCAAATAGATCTTTTCTTAAATTCACATTTACAACGTAGTTCTTTTGTGCAGTTATTTTCCAGACGTAAGTTATGCATCAGGAATGGGACAAGCGCAATCAGACTACGGGAGCCCCTACGGATTCGAGTAAGTTTCTTGGCTAACTTTAATTAGTGATCGTTATTATTGGCATTTAATAATATACTACGAATAATGTTTAGTTTTTATAAACCAGATTTTGGTTATGCATCGGCAACAGCTGATACGAGTGGATGGGGTCCGTATGGTCCAGGGTGAGTAAATCCTAAGTATGCTTAGGGATTACGTTATACATTGCTCTTAGAAATTACTGTCACTATAACTTTTGCATATCACCAGGACTTATCCCGATCAAAGCTACACTGGAGAAGCGCAGGCCCAAGCATCCATTTCGGTAGGGTTTTATGAACCAGGTAGGCAGTGGTATATTTAAATAATTAAAAGGAACTTTGTATCCAATACGATACGTAATACAATATCAATATTAAGTATTATTTATTTATTTGTAAAAAACAGGACGAGCAAGGCAATTTTTACCTCAGGAATACATAATTCCTCATTCAACATCCGGTAAGCAATTTTATATTAAATTAATGTTGTATATACTTAAATCAATATTGCAACGATCTTATTATGGTATTATACTAACTGTTAAACTATATTTTGATTCTAGGACAAGAAATTGTATGTATGCGAGCGGGTGATTTATACAGCATACTAACAATTGACAATAGATGTTTGATATGTACGTGTAGTGAAGTCCTAGGGCGATTGGCGCCTGTATGTGCCGGCTGTGACTCCTGTTTCGCACTACCATTGCCGGAACCGGAACCAGAACCGGAACCGGTACCGGTGCCAATACCGGAGCCGCCGCCTGAGCCACAGCGTTAGTAAATTTATAATATTTTCATATTTTTTGCTTGAATTTTTAAAACTTACACGAAATAACATATCTTTAAAACAAAATCTATGGTGTAATATTCATATACAACTAGCAAACTCGGTGAACTCCGTTTCGCCACCAGATGGCTTCGTTTTATGTAACATTTCGTTTGGTGATCCCGCTTTTCTGTTGAAATTTTTCCTGAATTTTCTTGCTGCTATAAACCTCACGGAGCCCGAGACCTTTCCAACGAATGCAAAACCGTGGAAATCGGTTCGTGCGTTCTAGAGTTATAGCGTCAGGAAGGAATACCCGACTTATTTTTATATAGTAGATAGAATATCAAATAAGAAACATTTTGTACTTAATATACAATATTCTCTTTCGATGTCAATATGATAAAATTCTATGTACCTTATTTCAGTGTCATGCTCACCCCTACCAGAAGACACGCCTTTCGAGAATCCATTGAATCCGTGCCAAATATGTATTTGCGCTCATGTATTCAATGCGATTGGACAGCCCGACATACAGATCGACTGTCAGGAGAATCCAGAATGCCGTAAGACTATTTCGAATTCAATAGGGAGTTAGTTACAATAAATACAAATTAAAACTCACCACTTATATAAATTAATCATAATGTTGTTTTGATTAAATACTATAAAACAGTTTAACATGGGTCGAAGCCATGAGACACTTATTTTTTTGTTCTCAGATATACTATTTACATAGACTCGAAAATTAATGAATTTCATCAGCTCAGATAAAAATCTCTCTGTTACAGGATTGCCGAATGATATCCCTCAGATACGTAAGTGATTACGCAGATTTATTCAAATATACCGGAATAAAATCAATGATATTTCTTATTCATCAATTCTTTTACAGCGCCCATACCTGAACCACCAGTACCGGTTCCTAGTGAGTTTTTATTATTTAGTAACTTATTATTACAGTCAACAGTTTCTATTAATTTACAATTAATATTTATAAAGTCTATGATATATCTTAAGACTAATTGTATTTACGATTATAATGAAAGTACTCCACAGTAAAAATATCAACTCTGCTTTATTCCCCGATTCACTACGACTGATTTTGTACGCGGAAAATATTATGGGACTTTTCATTTAGATAAGAAGAAAGCTGTTATTAAAAATCGTAAAAAATATACGTAGTGTAACAAAAAACGCATATCTAAGTAGCTATTCTCAAAAGGGAAATTGCTGCAACATATATTTAAATTCGAGATCAAAGACTTATAAGAATTTTAATAAAATTTTCAGTGCCCCTTTGCGAGAAGTTCCCATCCGAAATACTTTTCCCTCATCCAACAGAAAGTTGCAAAATTTGCAAGTGTGTCGTCGAGATATTGTCATTCGGTATACCCGAGCAACGGATTTTATGTATGCCAATCCCTGAATGCGGTAAGAATGTAATATTTAATATTTCTTTAATAATTAATACCTATATTGTAATCAATTACTCGTTCGTTTACGTAATATCGTAATTTGAATATTTAATTTTTTTAGAACAATCCTGGCCGGAACCAGAACCTTGGCCAATACAAGAGATCTGGCCACCAGGTCCTGAACCGTACCCCATTATTGAGCCAGTACCTAACGTACCAGAACCATGGCCAATTCCAGAGATACTGCCTCCTGCACCTGAACCCTGGCCTATCATTGAACCTTTACCACCAGCACCAGAAATATGGCCAGTTCCAGAACCCTTACCTCCTCCCCCTAGACCGTGGCCTATTATTGAGCCAGAACCAGTGCCTATTATTGAGATAGAACCAGTGCCTATTATTGAGACAGAACCATGGCCAATTCCAGAGACACTGCCACCTGCACCTGAACCCTGGCCTATCATTGAACCTTTACCACCAGCGCCAGAACCATGGCCAGTTCCAGAACCTTTACCTCCTCCCCCTGGACCGTGGCCTATTATTGAGCCAGACCCATGGCCAACTCCAGATACACCGCCACCTGAATCCTGGCAAGTCATCGAACCTTTACCACCAATGCCAGAACCAGTTCCCGAACCTTGGTATCCACCTGAACCAGTTGAACCATGGCCCGTTATTGAGCCAATACCAGAACCATGGCCCACTCCCGAATACCTGCCATGGCCACCCTCAGAACCTGAAATATGGCCTGTTCCTGAGCCCTTACCTCCAGCTCCAGAGCCTTGGCCGATTCCAGAACAATATCCGCCAGCTCCCGAACCTTGGCCAATTCAACCGTTGCCAGAACCTGAACCACCAGAACCAGAACCACAACCATGTAAGCACCAATCAACTTTAAGATATGTTTACTTACTTATATTTTTCGCAATGAGTTGTGCATCAAAATATTTTGAATTTTTAGTACCTTGGCCACCTGTGTTACCTGATGCTCCACTCAGTCCTCTACCTGGTCCACCACCTCGTAAGTAACATTTTATTCTCATTAAAAGTTTGCAATACCTATCACTACAATTCACCAATAAAAAAAAAAAGGAAAAAAAAATCACCGAAAATATATTTCTGTTGAAAAATTAAACCCTTTTTCCTATTCTAGATCAGTCATGTCGACCTTATCCGCCGAACATGCCATTCCAACATCCATGGGATGAATGCAGAGTTTGTGTGTGCAGTGAGTTCCATGCGATCGGTATCACCAACATTGAAGTTAACTGTTACACGAAACCATCGTGCTGTAAGTAATACTATTACAATAACATTCTAGCAAGTATCTTCATTCATACTCATAAGTTAATTCCACACATACGTATACATAAAATAAAGTCATTAAAGTCCGTTCTCTTTCCAGGCATTGAACTACCATTCCCAGGTTTGTGTGAAATTTGAATATTTTTACAAAATTTTACAGTATTTAGTTTAACTTAATTTTACTTGAGTATACTTACAGCTAAATTGGTCTGAACAGTGAACACATACAATAATGATTTCACAAACATTTAACGATGAACATACACCACCTACTACAATGAATTGGTTTCGATTTTTATTAAATATTGGCTTAGAAAATTTTAGACTATCATCTATCATAAATCTCTGACTTACATTTATTTATAGGCTCTATATTTTATGAGTAATTGTTTATTTTGTGACATGTTTTGTTACAGAACCATATCCTGAACCATTACCCCTCCCCCCGCCAATTCAGCAAACAAGTATGTAACTAATTAAGATTACTTTATTTCAATACTGTATTTCTAAATTGTATTCTTTTTTCAGTTCCTCAACCTATTCAGTATATTGGTGAGGATGAGAATGAATTTGATAACTTTATATTAACACCTGTTGTGTAAAAAATTTCAAGTAGTATTTTTTTTCAGAGCCACAGTTTCCACAAATAACTTCAGGTACACAATAAATATTTATACAAATAATGCATTCCATTTAATATTCTTTTTTTGGATGAGTGGGCTTACAATTAGTATCTAAGTTGTTCATGACTTTGCCTATCTTTTGTGATGCAATAGCCCCTATCATTATATCGCAAATCCTAATATAATATTGCAAAATTCATAAAGCATCTGTGCTTCTTTATCATTCAGATCAGAACTGTCAATATCAAGATATCGGATCCGAATTCCTAAGCCCCGAAGACGTCTGTAAAGTGTGCACCTGTCAAGTATTCGGAAACTACGTAGCTCCGGTCTGTAGACGCTCTAAGAGGCCCGAATGTAAGTAAAACTCTTTTAAAACATATAAATAGGTATATAATAAACACCTCGTAGTCTATATAACAGTTTTACAAAAGTGAAGCAGTAAATTCTACAAATTTCGATACTTGAAAAACTATTAGACGAATGTGTTACGCGTATCACATAAATTAAATAATTTCCATTGTAATTTGAACGGCAGCGAGACATATCTATGAAACAAAGCGACTCCGTATTTTCTGCGAGTTTTCTAATTTCGTGTCTCGCTTGCTAAATTGCTTTTCTTGTCACCATTCGTCTTTTACTCTATCGCAGATAACCATTTGTTTTAACAAATTTAGATTTTGAGAAACTAATGTTCCATTGTCTAACGACGATAAAAGTTCATAATTTGCAATAATTTATTACTTTTGTGTTTCCAAATGTATAGTCATCTCTAAAAATATTTATTCCAAAACTGACGAATGATGTGAAAACAACAAAAAGTATAAAATAAAAATTTACGACGCATCAGGCGACACGGCCGTCGAAATTGACAAACGGTCGCAAAAAGCCGGCGTAACGGACCCGCCACAGGTGCTGTTAAAGGCGAAAACATGGCGGCGAATATTTGGCAGGGACCCGTCAATAACCGGCTACAGACGCCTTTAGGTAATCATCTGACAAAAGGAGATAAATTACTTGCCCCTTCACATTCGAAGTTAATCGAGAGAATTTTATGATGATTGTGTTCTACACTATCATAACTTTTGTTGGTATTAGATTATAGAGACCCTTAATTCAACCCAATCGTCGAGGGAAATCAAGAACCAATAACCGTAACAAATAAAATGCTAACGGTCAATCATTGACCGCGCTAAGTATATTGCGACTATTCGACAACAGTCCTAAACCTCAACTCAATCACGATTTCATCTGTATACTTTTGATTTCAGGTGCGGCCACGGGTAAGCTTTCGTTAAATCACAAATTGGATATTTTATTGACACATGTAGCTGATGCTTTTATTTTTTGTAGATCTGAGGCCGTTCAACAACGTGGTGTTTATTGGTGAGAAGGAATTTTATAGCAAATTTTTATTGTAATCGAATTACAACATTGTAGAGCACCTGATGACAACTCTACGGCCCTGAATATATTTTACCTCTGCCTTTTAATAAATTTAAGAAATGTATTAAAGAAAAGCTGTGTAAAAAGGCTTACTATAAAGTTAACGATTATCTAGTTGATAAAAGGGCCTGGGACTAGTGCTAGGCAGGCTACTTCTAATTTATTTATTTATTTTAAAATAAATATTATTAATAATAAGCGATATTTGTTTTAAAATAAGTGTTGTTTGATAATTTGCTATTTTAAAAGAGTACCGAGAGTTTTTAACGACGGCTTTTTCTCTCGGCCTACTCCCTCTGTCTTCTTTGCCGATGAATAGGGATGCCTACAAATTTAAATTTAATGACGTGGTATAAGTGATACCTGTATCTTATGTTCCATAATAAACATATATTTTTTTTTATAAAACGAAGAGGTAAGGAACGATAATAATATCGTTAGTCGTTTTACTAATACGGCATTAGAGAATCAATAATTTGCTAAAACATTTGAATGAGGCTTAAACCTATATATAAAGTGGCATTGAACAAACAAACTGAAAAGTAACTTTGTGTTTCAGAGCCAACGTGTCGTTATCGACTCCCGAATCAGCCATACGTTGTGGATTGCAACGTGTGTTCCTGTCAACCAGTTTTTAATTACGTCATCGCTCGCTGCACCCCACAACCTAACTGCGGTATTTTTTTCATTTTTAATCAACTACCGACCTACTTTCCTAAGCTTTCCTAAATTATTTCAGTCATGATATTGGTTTTACCCATTTGTCAGAATCAATGTTACGATAAATTAGTTTTAGTTTCAAACAGTATTAAGACAATTTTAAAGGCTTTATTTTATTACGTGAAATACAAAAGCGGCATAAATAAAATTCACTCACATAGGTTCATTTTGAATTCAATATAGTGAGCGAAGTCGCGAATAAAATTGAATGTAGTATGAACAGCAATATCGCCATAAATTATTGTATTTCGTTGTGCCCGGACTTTAAGATAACTTCGGACTTACTGATTTTTTGCGAGCGCCTCGAGAATACTGTAATTCCGAAATTTGGTTTCTCAGTAAAAAGTTTACAATATTTTTCATAAACTTTCATGGTACATAAAAAATTAAACATTTAACACATTATTTTGTTTATATATTATAACACAAGATAAAAATTGTAATTTTCAGATACTTTACCACCATTTGCACCGGGTGGAACATTTAACAATGGAGAAGCGTATTTTGATTCATACGGTGATTCCTCTTTGGCTCAAGCATCATCTAATTCCCTTTATAACTCAGCGTCAGCAGAAGCTACCGCCATCGCACATGCTCAGTCAAACGTGAACTCAAATATGGGAGGCAGCTCCGCCTACGCTGAGAGCGTGTCCAATGCAGGCAACAAATACCCTTACGGCACGATTTTTCCCGGTTCGTCAGATATTTCAGCATCCGCCCAAGCTAATTCCTTAGCTAACGTGCCTAATATCAATTCGTATCCGTACTATGATGACAATTACTATGCTACAGCTCAAAGTCAAGCTGCCGAACAAGCGGCGTACTCTCAAGCAATGGCCAGTGCAACGCAGAATTCCTTCAATCAATTTGGCAGTCAAACTTATGGCACAGCAGAAGGTGTAGCTAATAGTCAATATGGTCTGTATGGAGGGTATCCCTACTATAGCGGAATGCCAGACGTAAGTCAAATGCAACCGGGATCTCTGGGGACATCTGAACTTTATCAAGGTCTATACCAATATCCTCAAACGACAGGAATGTATCAAGCGGGTATGTCTGGTTGGGAAAATTCAGTAAGCGAGCAAGGCACAAGTAAGTTCTTTATGTAAATCTTAATTTTAATTTTTAATACCCATTTTGAGTGACATATGAGTAATTTATTCAAATTAAACAAATAATGAACGAAAACTCCGATTTCAATAGTAATAGTAATATTAGTATGCGATGAAATTAATTTTCGGTAATTATTATAACCGCATATTACAAATTCAGCTGCAATTTTTGGATTCATTATTTACGGCTTAAAATTCGTAAACGTTCCACTTCGCCATATTAAATAATTCAAACATTAAATTATGTATCCCATTTAATCATCTTTGTGTATTTGTCGTGTGAAAGTGACTTCTACGCGAGTAAACGCCGAAATTCCATTAGCCGAATGTATTTGACACGTCCCTGTGTAAATTACGAAATGAAACAAAATATTTGCGACTCTGTATTAATTTCAATAATTTATCCCCTTCTCGTTAAAGACAAATAGTGTAAATTAACTGCTATTATTTTGGTTTAAATCTGCATATTACGGGACAGAAACATTAACGCAAGAAAATATACAAAGTATTATACACTGAACATAAATCTATAGAAAGTAAACAGTGCTGTAACAAACAAAAATAATTATTTCTGTAAAATATGTAGTCTTTGATAAAGAAGCTACAGTAGAATATCATTGTTGTTAATTGGTAAATCGAATGTAACTATAGTTTTTATAACTAAATGAGAGCAATAAAGTAAAGAAATAAAGTGTTAAGTAATTTTATAATGTTAGGCGATATTAAAAAGCTTTAAATGTTGCTTTTTGTGTAATAAAAAATTAAGTTTAACAAGCGAGTTCTTAAAGTATTTTAATTGTTTAGGCATGCAGAATTTGCGGCAAATTTCGGCGATTTCCGGTCGGCCGTTAATACGTTCCGGTAGGTCCTGAGAGTTATTTCTTGTTATTCATAACTCGGTAAGTATTATTGATCCTTTGCTCCGTAGTAAGAGGACTTTGCCTAAGGGATTACAACTTTCGGGATATTTAAAATATATTAGAATCAGACGATGTCGTCAAATTCCATTTAATCTATCTTTGAATCACCGCTTTTTTGGCTACAACTTTTAATAGCGGGACTTAACTCAGAAATCCTATAAGTAATGTTTGTGGAAGTATTAATATGGAGTAATATTAGTAAGTATAATAAAAAATATCTAACTGCCTGTTTCCGTACTGGAGCCACACACAATGTGTAGGGTAGTGGTCGATTTCGGTAGAAATATAATTTCGATCTGGCACGGAAAGATTTGATTTAAAAACTTATATCTTAATGTCACGCGTCACGTTGTTTGTCCGCTATGGACTCCTAAACTACTTAACCGATTTCAATCAAATTTGCACACCGTGTGCAGTTTGATCTAACTTAACAGATAGGATAGCTAACATATATATACTCGTATATAGTTCTACAGTACGTGTGTACGTTCACTGAACTCCTCTTAAACGGCTGGACCGATTTGATGTTTTTTTTGTATGCGTTTGGGTGGAGCCCTGGATTGTTTAGATTAACAAATCAGCCCAACAGACGGTGCTGCAGTCAGTATTTTCATACTTTGTTTAATATCCTAATCGCTAGAAATATCATGCAGGACAACGTCTGTCGGATCCGCTAGTACATTATAGACAGAACAAGATTTCGAAATAAATTTTCTGATAATATTAAAATAAATAATCAAGCAAGAAAGAAATTGGTAACGCTTATTTAAAAACAATAGCTTAATAGAAAATGTACCGTTATTTTTTAATCAATGTTTACGGCTTCAGAACGGTGTTGATTAAATTTTAATACAAGGGTCATCGAGTTTATTGTATGACTTTTTCAATCTAAAATAACTTCATAGAGGCCTTATTCGATATCACAACACTGAGAAATACGATTACGTTAGTATATTTAAAAACATAACATTAGTTCATGGTTTCCTATTCTAGTCTAATGTTTGTTTTTTGGTCATTGACCCTGAACAGTAAGTGAATTGGGTGTTTATATTTTTCTTCCTTTTCTAGGCCCAGGCTTGTGCAACTACTCGGGAGACAAGTATCATCACAACTGCCAGGCGTGCTTCTGTTTCCAGGATGGAAATGGAAGCCTGTTTACACTCTGCTTAGGCAGTCCTTGCGCCAAGTAAGAGTGCGGTCAGTGTAATTAATAATTTATTATTTATGAGTAATATTGCTGATATAGTTTCCTATACAGCATCGATAAATGCTATGGCAGTTTTAAATTGGAAAACAATTTTGATCCAAATCTGTGCATATTTATAAAGAAAGTAATATACTTTTGACGTTACGTTTTTCAATATGTATGTTTATTTACTTTATACGATATACAACTATAGCATATTTAGCAATGTACTAGTCCAACTAGTCCTATAAGATTTTTAATATTGTCCTGATCACTGTTTACATATGTTTTAATTGCTTTGTTATGTTCCATTAGTTTTGTCTAAATAACTATACCTATGTCTTATGTATTTTTGCACTTCATGCGCTTGCCTTATCAAATTTTTTCTCACAGTGGTTTCCTTATCGCTCGAAAGCGGTAAGGCCGCCAATCCTTTTAATTTAATTATGTCAATTATATTTAATTTACGTACATGCAATGAAGTGTTAAAGAAATAAATAAAATAATAAATTAATCTAAAAACATTGTTTCAGATGAATGACTCATTGATGAACGACCGTAACGGACTATGATAATATAATTTATGATAAATAATTGTAAGATGGCATGTAGAGACAAAAGCACATTCCTACTTTAATAAATACCTACTAAGCGTAAATATTTTATTTGCATACTGTCCTCCACTTCTCAAGTTTAAATATATTTCGTGAAACCGTTTAGTTTCACATATGTAATAATGGTTGCGCTGCAAAGCTTCATTGATATTTTTAACTCACTTTCTGTGCGTGACATGTTTTGGGTCTAAGGGCGGTTGAAGAATAGCGTTTTTTACGCGCGTTTAAGCTCGTCTCAAAAGCGCATGTAAGCAGGTATAGGCGCGTTATGGCACACGCGCAACTCGTACGAGCGTTGACGCGCTTCTAAGCTCGTATATACGTATGTACGTATGTAAGTTCGCAGTTCTGGGTAGAGTGTATTAAAGTGATCGGTCCTCTGTCTTGATGCAATCATCGATGCCACCCAGCAACTGTTTCGTCTTCTCAGTGGACGGCCAAATATGCCGATATTTATTTAATATGCCAGTTTACGCGCGTCCGGTTTTTCGAAGCGCGTATGCTGAAACAACCGTATACGCGCAGAAAAACACGCTAGTCTGTAACCGCCCTATAAGTCATTTAAGATTCGTTCGGAACGGTGAAGGAAAACATCGTAAGGAAACCGACGGCGTTGTCAGGCATAGGAGGCTGATCACCTACTTGCCTATTAAATCGAAAATCGATCATGAAACAGATTGAGAAATCTGTGACCTATAGAGGTTGTACTGCCACTGATTTTTCGAAGTTATACTTCTTTAGGCGCGTTATGAAAAATTGATGACATTAAATTTTACATCACCGCACCGTGACACAAAATTAACAGAATGAAGTTGCCCACGGAAGACGCTACGGCATTGACATAATTTAAAAACAACATTCGAATAATAATAGAATTTATGTTACACTTAATGTGTAAGAGAATAATAATGAATATTTATTTATTTAACTTTTCAAATGTAAACTGAACTTTATTGACTATAATGACTCCTTTTCCAGTCTTTGATTATTTAATTATAATTAATTATTTGCATGCAATCAAAAGCTTTTTTTAATGATGCCAAAGAAGTATACCTTCTTACGCGCGTACATAAGTACACGCACTCTTTTTTATAGAGAGATACCGACGGGATGAACATTTAATGTTTGACAGTTACGAAACCCATGAACGTTTTGTACTATTGGAATTTTTGTTTCCTTTATTTTCATCGACTTTCCAATGTTTTTAATAGTTAATAAAAACCAAGAAAATCGGTCCAGCCAGAAGATTACTATCTAGCATATATAAAAAAATCCGACATTTACTATAAGGACACGGCTAAAATTTGTATCATACTACTTTCACAGCTTATGTCGTACGGTATTTTACTGTGGGGTGCTGCTGCAGAGGTTCAATCCATATTTGTGCTGCAGAAGCGGGCTGTTCGGGGTATTTTTTGTGTTTCTCCCCGAGGGAGTCGGTACGGAATAAGTTTAAGGAATTAAATATTATGACACTTCTGTAATATATTCTTCAAGCCTTGTTGTATGTCCAAAAAAATATAAACATTTTAAAACAAATGGTGACTTTCACCAGTATAATACGCGAAATAGAACTAATTTGAGTGTACGACCAACCAGGCTCCAAAAGATAAACCACTCCCCTTATATGGAAATTGTATTCGTTTTTACAACAAACTCCCAAGCGAAATTAGAGAATTATCACTAAATAAATTCAAAGCCCCTCGTTAAACGGCAATTAATCAATAAAGCGTTTTATAAATTTGAGGAATACTTAAATGATCCTACCTTCCTTGGGATTGATTTGCTCCAGTTCAAACAATTTGTATGACAATACTTGGCGATTAAAAAGAGTGGCGGAAAGTTTCTTGCCAGTTCTTCTTACCCGCTCTACGCCCTTGACTTGCGAACTGGTAGTAAATGTAAATTTACAATTAATTTAACTTGACAATTCAAAAGTGTACTTGGTTACCCACTTGAATAAAGATATTTTGAGTTTGAGTTTGATTATAATGTAGTGATAGTAAACGAAAATACTTCGTACATACAAGAACATAACTTTATTTCTTTTACGCAATCAATATTGCAATACTCGCATGAGTTTTATATTAAAATCCGCTTTGCTATTAAAATAATGTTTACTTACTTTGTGTTCGCCGAGCAATGCGCAAGTTTATGGAGTATAATTTTTATAATAGATGGTAAAGTATACTTTAATATAAACCATCATATTTTCTTAGAACATTTAAATTACTTTAGATACGATCCTTAATAAAGCCCAAGACCAGAGAAGTAATAAACAACTTACATAATTTTCCTTCTAAGCGAAGAAGCAAAAATAATATTGCAACTAGAAGAATGCGAATATTATCTTATAACCTTAATATTCTATTGATAATTTTAATTTTCACTTCACCAACTAATTACTTAATTTTCACGTTTAAATCACAATGCTGTCGAGATTTTAAAATTGTAAATTAGACAATAAAATCTACCATAAGTCCCGAATGGGATAGGGCGACCATGAACAGATGATTCTAACAATTCTTCTTCCTACCAAACCATTATAGTTCACGAATTTACAAACGTACTATTTTTAAAATCGAACACTGGTCACTTTTAAGTTCTTAAGTACGTTACAAGTTATGAAACCACATGAATCTCTAATAAAAATATCGAGCAATTAAAAGTGATTTCCCCGGCGGCGAGCGCTATTAGTCTATTACCAGAGATACAATGCACGCAGAAATTTTCTAGCCCAGTTACTGAACAAATCTCATATTCTGTTGGGAAATATAGCGATACTGTCAAACTGTTCAATATCTGTTTATTTCTAAATATGTCATCTAACAATAGGTCGTATGCAATTGAGAATAATGAACAAGAACGATAGAGGGTATGGACGCAGCAACAATTTTTTGTATTAACATTAGCAAAAATAGCAAACCTAACTTCACCTATAGTATATTAAATAGTATTTTATATGTTGACGATATAAATAATTCATATATCGATATCTGAGGGTCTTAACAAAGTTCTTGCTTCTTCTTAAATTATTATTGATACTGATTAGATGAAAAAATCAAACCACGCCTTTCATCATTGTCATTTTTTTAACAAAAAACACGACTATCCTAAAACGCCCATGCTGTCCATGGCTCACTATAGTTTTGTTTTGTTTACTAACCAATAACATATCAACTACGACCAAATTTTACTACCTCTAACTATAGCTACATATGTACCTATACAATCAAAAATAAATAAATTATGATAATCACAAATAGATACGTATAGTTTTACATAAAGGTTCTTCTGACTTTAACCCTGACCCAAGATCCGCCTTTGAACTAAAATAAATATTAAGGATTACTTTCAGTTACAATATGCCAACTAACTCTAACCCCTTATGGGCTTGAACATCGTGACATAATAGAACTGGCGGAGTTTGGTGACGCTCAACACCGGGGTGGTAGGTGGTATGCGTATGAAGGAAACACATCCGGTGAGAGCGGAAGCGATCTTAAGACTAGCAATTCAGCTCATAGAAGCAGGTATTACTACTACGTAACATTTTATATTTAACATTTTTTATTTTTTAACCGATAAAATAACGTTTCATTACCCCAAGATCAATTAAAAATTACATCAGCTTGATTACAAACAGCATTATGATATTATGAGCTTAAAATTTCTATAATGTAAATTCAATGTTACCTACTAGTTTCTAATGGCAGTAAACATAACATTATAAAAATGCGAAATCATAAGAGATATGTTTTGTAGAACAGGACGCAAACGGCTCACCTGATGTTAAGTGCGCCGCCCATGAACAGTCACACTGCCAAAAGGGTCGCAAGTGCGTTGCCGGCCTTTTAAGTAAACAGTTCTGTTTATACTGTAAACACTCTGATTAGTTAATCAATACATATGCAGCATAGCATATGGATTACATTAAAAAAATGCAATCTAATAACAAAACTCTCGGAAATAAAATATGTTTTGATAATAACCAATCTTTTAAAGTTGTATCCTATTTATATTTGAACGTCGAAAGAATGTCATATACTTAACAGTCTTGCCACAATCTGCCATTTAGTTTTTGAACTTCGCTAACAATCTTAGAGTTAATATTTTCTCGAGGAAATTCTTTAAAGTTTCTGATATTTTATCATTTAAGCTCCATATCGTCTGGCTCCGAGAGCGTCTCTTCAAGTTTGTCTTCGGAGGCGTCGTCTATTGAAACCAAAGAGGCCAGGCGAGCGTAAGTTTATAATGTTCATTGCAAATAGTACGTTTCTTTGGTTATCATCGTTTAATCTTGTAAAGCTACTCTAACATTCTTTATACACAAATACACTTCTGGGTATGTTTAATTGATTATGATTTGCAACAGATAAACAACCATCGCACGATAACAATGAATTAACCTTAATTTTTCGTATCAAAGTAGGTCATTTATTTTATTACTATTACTAGTCATACAAAGATATTTTTATGTTTATAATAATTGTTCATCTTAAAAAAATTATTTCAGAACAAAAACATGGCGTCAGTGCACGCCATGTCCTCACGATATGTTAAAGAAATATATAAATTTTGGTATTAAATGGATCTGTGCATCGTATCAGCGCGCGCGCCGATCCTTCAAGAGCGAGTGCATGATGCGGTATAGGAACTGTCAGGATGGAACTAGTAATAAAATTAATTCATTTAAAAAATTTAATTAATTCAATATTTTTATAAAAGGTCTCATTGAAAAATGTGTAAAATATAATTAATAAAATAAATTTTAGGGTTATCACTTTTTTAAAATATGTTTTTTTTATTTCAGTGTTTGTGAAGATATCTGACAAGCGATGCAAAAATAGCTCGTACCACGGCCGACATTGGTTTTACGTTTATAGAGTTTAATGTGATAAAAAATCAATTTTATATTGTATTTTGAATTGCGTCATTCCCATGTGTCCACACATAATATTTGCGGTACAACTCTCAATGGGTCTCAGCTTCAGATTGCATCTGTAAGTAGGTAAAAACCTTCTGTGACAAGCACCATTAACTTTTAAGAATACAGAAGCTTGCCTAAAGAAATCTATAAAACAGAAATAGAACTTATCTACTACTGACCCGTACACATAATCAATCACGCACCGTATCAAAATTATTCCATCTTTTCACTCATCCTACATACGAGAATAGAGGATATTTACAGTTCTAAACGTTGGTAAATGAGTTTTCATCAAACTCGACATAAATTCTAAACAAAGCAATTTCAATTATAGGGAATTACGAAATTCCGCCATTATCCCCACATGGTGCCTAATAATATAAATTGTTATTCGCCTGGCGCTTGATCGTTAATCACATCTCCAATTTGTTGACCCCGTGTTTTATACATTGCTATTAACATAATGAGATGAGATTTATCAGAGACGCAATAAACATTAGACCCTAATAAAGGACCTATTTACCGAATTTGAGCAGTAAGTAGGCTGGATATGACTAAGACACCCGTGGTCGTGTCTTCTAACCTCGACTGTGCACCGATACATTTTGCTATCTAAGTATAAGTAAGTAAGTATAAGGCAGATCTCGCAGACTAAATTTACATTTAATAAAATTATCCATATGATAACAATAAAGCTTTGAATATTTTACCTATATATAGATTTTTAAGTGATAAGTTGAGTGTAATTTTAAGTTAGTTAAGTTTGGTTGGTTTGGTATTGTATTTTTGAAGTTATACTTCTTTAGGCGCGTTATGAAAAATTTATGAGAGTGAAATTTTACGATGCGCGCGCACCGTGACACAAAATTAACAGAATGAAGTAGCCCACGGAAGATGCTACGGCATTGGACATAATTTAAAAACAACATTCGAATAATAATAGAATTTATGTTACACTTAATGAAAATAATAATAAATATTTATTTATTTAATTTTTCAAATGTCAACTGAACTTTATTGACAATAATGACTCCTTTTCCAGTCTTTGATTTTTTATTTATTTATTATTTATGTTTGAGTTGTCTAGAACAAATCTTCATTTATTTAATCTTATTTTTCTTCTGTTTTGTGTTATTGTGCTGTAAATAAAGTGTTTTTTAATATTATTATTTGCTCAAAAAATTCTAGCCCATACAACATAACATCAACAAAGTCTAAAACCCAAAATGTACACAGTAAATACAAAACGAATATATGCCTTAAATCTCTGTAAAATTGCACAAACAATCAAAATGCATAAACCCTGTAGATGTGCTGAATTCAAAAATAATAAAACATAAAAATATCGAGAGCATAAAATATTTTATATAAATATAGTGATAAGCGTTCGTGGTCGGAATTTATGATTTTTCATACATTTTACAGGCGCTAAAGTGAATTGGTTTGATAAAATAGTATGCGGCTGCTGCCTGTCGAGATATCGCTATTAATAATCATCGGTAAGGCGAGCATTCAATTATTTATGACTATTTCAACAGTGTAAATGTTTGCCGATACCGTGTCAATTAAATCGGAGGACGTGAATCCACTCCCAGCTAAAGGGAGTCTATTTCAAGAATACAAACAAATTATTGATATAATAAATAATAGAGAGGCCCCTATTATGTCCCTTTCTAACTAAGAAAGTTGACAAATATTATATTTTTCATAATTGATAAATATTTGTCTATCCATGTTTAATAGACGTAAATTGAAAAGGTTAAATACAAACTTGCATGACACTAAAACTTCTATTCGAAGAACTAAATTTGTATAAAACTGATGGAAAGTGTATCCAAGAACAGGCAAAGTTAACTTTATCTGCGGTAAAAGCTTCGACATCAAAAGTTCCTAAGCTGCCTTGTAGAGCGGCCACAAACTATGTTGAATTCACAAACTTTCCTTTTTAAAAACCTTTATATTTCATAAAAATGACGTTGATCGTTTCAAAAATTAGCATTTTTTTTCTTAGTGGAAGGTCAAGGCCTTCCTCCTATTTGTTTATAAATATCTAATATATAAAATTCTCGTATCGCGGTGTTTGTGCTTAAACTCCTCCAAAACGGCTCGACCGTTTCTCATGAAATTTTGTGTGCATATTGGGTATGTCTGAGAATCGGACAACATCTATTTTTCATCCCCCTAAATGTTAAGGGTAGTCCACCCCTAAATTTTTTTTAAATGTTAGATAAAAAATTTATTCTTTATTTTTTTATGATACAGCATTAAAAAATACATACAACCCCTAATTTTCACCCCTCTACGATCAACCCCTATTTTTTATTATAAATGATAAACATGGTTAAACGACGTTTGCCGGATCAGCTAGTATTTATAATAAATATTTAACGTATAGTCTGTAACGATTACGCAAGGCTGCTCAAGTTTTTAAATTAGTTTATTACAAATCGAAAAAACTCAGATAAGCGCCATCTATGTCACCGTAAAGCTCAGTTTATCAGAATATTTTTGATATAAATCTCTTACATATTATATTAACATATCTATCTAAAGTATGTGGCCGTTTACTTTTAAATTAATTCCCAAAAACATATCATGTGCCAAATGGCGAGTCAATAGTATATTTTTTTGTGATATTCTTTCAAAAATAATATGTTAACTCTTGCAGTTCATTTATCGGCGGCTCTGATCGAAAATGTTACAGTTAGTGAAAATATAAGTAATGACATAAAAGAAGTGGAAACAAGAAGAAAAAGGGACAAACATAGGGAGCTATCTACATCATCCTCGGAGGGTTTTCGTAAAAGTGGTAAAATATACAATTATTTCACTTATAACTTATTATATAAATGGAGGTTTAAAACCTGATTGTCACAATTTTATTAGAGTGTTACTTTCTGTACCACTACAAAGTAGAAAATAATCGAAGCAAGTTTTCTCAATATTTGTATTTTTTAGATGGTTCAAGTAAAGATGAGCATGAGTCCTTAGACATATCGCCCTCATCCACATCATCCTCTGAGAAAAAAGAACCATCCCAAATCGTCCAAAGAACGGAGAGGATGGTAAATTTATTTATTTCTAATTTTAACAGAAATTCAGAGTAAAGCGGTTGTCTGTAAATCATTTTGGCGTTATTTTTTGTTTACACAATTTTGTAGTAGGTATACAATATATACAATGATATATATGTATATAAAAAGTACAATTCATTAAATTAATCAATGAGAGGACGCAGATTTGAAAGGCAATTACAAACCGTATTTTGAAGATTAATTGGTAATTCGAACAAATGAATCGGTGTTATTTCTTGCTTCGGATAAGATAATAAAACGATATCAATTTAATATTGGCTTGAAATCCATAAACCAATTATCTTCATATTTAATTGTTATATAATATTCATTACATTTTATTACAATGTTTTAACATAGATGTTTGAAATAAGCAGCCGTTCTCTGTAGATATTCGACAACTTGTAGGAATTATGACTTGTATTTAAGATATATAAAGAAGGCGTTAGTCGTTTAGAATTAGGTTATAGCATAAAAACGATGTTAATATGGAAATTATTTGATACATTAAACATTATATAGCTGTTAAAATTAAAACTAAACCATACTAAAAATTGCGATCTTTGGTATTCAATTTATTTTACAGGATTTTCTCCATCAAAAAAAAAATAACGTAGCTTTATTTTTACCTTAATTGTTATAGGAGAAAATGGCATCGCAAATGTACCCCGTGCCCCGAAGACATGGTGAAGAAATGGAAAAATCCGAGTATACAGTGGATATGTGGAGCCTATCAACGTGCTCGGAGGACCTTCAAAAGCCTATGTATGATGCACTATAGGAATTGTCAGGATGGCACCAGTACGTAGTTTAATCCAAGTTGATATTAAAAAGCTAAGAGGTTTGTTTGCTTGAATGCGCTAAACTGAGAGTGCTGGTTTGAAAAGAGAAAAAAAATTGCATTGCATAGTCATTTATCAGGTAAGGCTAAAGGTGCCACGTCCGCGTCGTGGGTAAAATCGTCAAGAACGGCTAGTTCAATAGAAGTGAATTTGTGTATAAAGTATAATAGTACACGCTACATAGTCGTTTTCATAACTATATGAAATATCGAAAATGGGGTTTGCAACCGATAGTGGCGAAAGTAAAAGGAAAAATAAAATCAAAACTCTTCTAAGAAAAGTTCAATAAATTCTATATACTCTCAGTGCAAAAACCAGACCAGATTTTTTTTGAGGTCTGGTAAATCTTTTAAATCAAATACTTAAGTTTATATTGAGAACTTAAAAACTGCAACCTTCAGGTCACGCTAATTAGCTTTTAAGAACCTTATTAACATATAATTTTATCTTTTAGTATTTTATTGCTCTTTGCGTTATTAAAGTATGAATTTTTATAGTGTTTGTGAAGATTCACGACAATCGCTGCGCAAATGACACGGGACGGGATCAGCCCTATAACATCCACTTCTTCTACGATTACAATGTCAAATCCCGCTCTAGCAAAAGCTCCGACTCGACTATTGAAAGTTCTATCTCTGTATAGACGTATTTTATAAATAATAAATGTAAAGAAATAAGTATCTAATAACTCTGATAAGTATTTTTACTTCAATTGGCATCATTCATTGGATCTTATGAAAATTCTATTAATGTTACTGTAAAGAAATCATATTATTTTGTATTTTGATCCAGTACCAGCCACTAGCCAGTTCTCAAAGTATTAGAAGCAAAATAATTAATTTACTAGATTTGTGTCTTATTTACAAAAAAACTTGTAAGTCTGTTAAATGTAAGTGTTTAAACTCGGAACAATGCATTTTTTATCTATGTGCGCATTTAACAATTATTCACAGAGTAAAGAATATCGCTGTGAGGAAGCCACCATGTTTAAGTACCAATGCCGTGCCCTGACCACCTGATTCTTTCCTATAAGGATCCAAGCATTTTTTAATGATATTATGTATATAGAGTAACTTATCTATGGAAATAATCCTAAGCCTAATGACTCTAGTGTCGCGAGAACAATTTTACAAACCATGGAAAAAATAAAATATTTCTGTGTAAAATTTTAAATAATATACAGACTTATAGAGTCTATTAAAGGCTTTTTAGTGAGACGTCAAAACTAGAAAGCCATTACATAGAGTGTTTTAAACGAGATCTCGTTACAATCTCCATCCGTCATCTCTTTGCACCTGCGGTTATTAATGCGAAAGAACTTACTCAGCAAGCAATGCATTTAGCGAGCCGACGGGTGCCTGGCTCAGGCGAAAAGCGGAAAAACTTATCAACACAAAAAAGTCAAACAAAATGAATAAAAAACTAAACTTATACATAACGTCTAAAGCATGGTAGGAACCATCGTACTGTTTGGTAAGTTAAGTTAAGTTCATTTAATTATCAGGAAACAAACAGATACATCACTATAATAGAAACAAAAATAGTCAAGTAAAGTATAAATTTCATGTTTATAATCCACGGCAAAATAAAGTTGACAATGCAATATTTATAAAATCACAAATAAGAACATTTCTGTTAATTAATGGGTAGGTAGAATTTTTGTTCCTTAAAACCGATTAACGTACAATGAACGGACCTAAAGCTAATTCTTGAAAACTGTCATATATAAATCTAATTATAATCTAGAGTTTTTGAAATTCACTTTAGACACTATTTTAGTGTAATCAGTAGTTAAGCTGCATTCGCTATTCAAAATTATATCACTCCGCTTACGCCCTTCAATTACTCTAAGTCTTAAGTCACTTAAAACAGCATTCATACCTGAAAATGTTACACAAAATCAAGCCTTAGTCCCAAACAGGTAGAGAGGATAATCCTAGATCCAGGAAAAATAAAACAAGGAAAAATCGTACACTACAAAATGATAAGGTTGTCATGTGTTGTAAACGCTTAGCACTTATTATGTCTGTCTGTTTGATAAATTGCACGTCTGAGTGGGATTAATGGATGTGTAAGGGATTTGGTGTAGATAATAACTATGACGTTTCTCAATACGTTTAATCGCGTTCAAAGTAATGAATATGCCTGTACATCGCGTAGTGTTGCCGCCAAAAACTAATTAATGTACGAGATATAGGTACTATAATTGAATACATTTACTGCATATTAATCGCAAACTGACTTGTTTTGTGTATAACCCGGTATATTACCCGGGTCCTGGGTTTGATGTTCGGTGTACAGGGTAACTTAAAAAACAGACAAGTCAAGGGCGTAGAGCGGGCAAAAAGAACTGGCAAGAAACTCTTTGCCACTCTATATAAGAGTGGTTAAGTCTGCGGGTACGAAACTTGCGACGACCGGAGCGACGCATTGACAATGAAGAGTTAATATCTTTTATTTTATCAAAACCGGCTATATGGGACAGTAAAAACGTACACTATAAAAACAAAACAGTTATAATAAAGTGTTGCGAAGAAATAAAACGCCGTTTCGGGAATGTTGAAGGTCTTCTTTGACTGCGTCTTCGTTGATTTATTGGATGAACACCATCTCTAGGTAATAAAAATTAGCTCATTAGGAGACTGGGCTCCAATAGTTCTCTTCGACGTGAATTCATGTTTATCACAACACTACGTGAGCACGACTGCGCGGAAGTTTGTTTCGTACACACGCAAGACATTATCTCTTCGCCCCGCGCCGCACCGCCCTGCCCCGCCGTCGCTCCGGCCGTCGCAAGTTTCGTACCCGCAGACTAAGGCTGCTGCCTCGAATTTTGCGGGCAGCGGGGCGGCGGCGGCGGCGGCGCGGGAGCGGCAGGATCTTATGCGTAAAATCAAATGGACCGGTTCTCGAAAACAGCGGCGTGGCAGCGGCACGAGGGCGGATAACGAGCGGTGCAATCGCCTGCTCCCGCGCCGCAGCCGCCGCCGCCCCGCTTTCCACAAAATTCGAGGCAGCAGCCTAAGGCGTAGCGTGGCGATTTCCACAATCGTCGTAGTGACGCCTCGAGAGTAAACTCTCGAGTCCCTACGTCTGGCTATATAGCCAGACGTAGGGACTCTCTTCAACTTTTATATTCATTCGTTGCATAGCAATTAACATTTCATTATTTCGCTTATATTCTATTATACGCGAGTTACTATAGAGTAAAACTAAAATTCTTTATTATTTAAAGCACCCCGATGACCCAGAAACCGTACAATCAGTATTTAACATAAGAAAAATACCTAATTTCTAAAGGGTAAAACAACTTCAATGGAACTTATTTGTGACGTTTGAAAAAAGGACCACTCGTAATAAAGTGACAACAAAAATATAAAAGAGGGTATTTCAGAGCAATACATTGCCTTGTCGTTAAAGGGCAACGTTACTTTGATGTTGGGATTCGACGCACCCTTAAAATTATTTCTATGTTATAAAAGACTTGGTATAATTCCTTTTGTGTCAAATATACTTGCTAATGGACTGGAGTAGCATAAATTTTAGTATTAATAAGATCCAGTAGTTAATGGGGCAAGGGGAGTTTCTGGGTCTGTTTCATTGATTAATTCTTCTTTATGGGGAGTAGATGGTCAGCAGTGTTGCAATGTCTTGAGCACCAATTGATTTTCTTTGTTAGTGCGCATTTAACACTAGTTTTAGCTTTTAATATTCATTTTATTAAAATCTAAACATTTTTTATGAAACATATTCTTAAGAATCTTGCTACAAGTGCGCATGTGCAATAGTTACTCAGTGAAGTGAATTATAGTGAATCAAGTCATCATTGGAGTGCTTAATTTCCTACCCTAAGAACTAGATCAACTAGCACTTACACTAGGCCACTAGACACTAAGACATATAAGGTTGTAGCGCCATTAATTAAGTATTCTTAATAAGCGTTTGAACGTTTGGAAATGCTCCAATGGGATTTAAATCAATTATCTAAAGCCAGCAACTGGCGGGAAGTGGCACTCGGACTCGTAAGGCGAGGACCTTTACTACGAACTTCGCTCACTCCAGTGAGCTTCCGTCCTGCCCTTCAGGCGAATGGCCACTCCGTGACGGCCCAAGCCGAGGTTCGAGTCTCACAGGATACGACTTTACGCTAGTCGCGGGAAAAAAGCCCATTCAGGGCGAGCCACGCACGTCCAAACAGCCCGAGTTGAGCTGTAAAGACCCTGAAGGCAAACAGCGAGATTCCATTAAAAAAAAGACACATTTTGGATCACAGCTAGAGTAAATGAGTTGTATTCATATGTAAATATATTTTTTTACATTTTTAACAGTCATACATCATAAGCCATATTCTTAAATTTAGCTTAGAGATAATAAGGTACTTTTGATGTAATGAACTAGAGAACGAACCCGTTCAATGAATGAAGAATGTCAAAACACTATCCCCCCGCAACCGACTGACAATTCTTCATCACGTACGTTATCCTCAATCTACGCCTCATTTAACAGATCGAAGTTATTTATTATACCTTTTTTAGGCAACTGTACTCGAAGTAATGACACATGATGGAGTAGGTCTATTTATATATCTTTTTAGCAGCTTTTATTACCAAAATTCCTGTTGTAATAAAATAGAAAGAAGTTTTATCTTACACGATGTAAAGAAAAATTCAACAGTATCGTGACACCAAAGATTGTTTGTTATGAAATGGTCCACAAGTTGTAATAATAAGCTTATATTTATAATTCACTTCAAGAAACTCACTGAACAAGTTATTGTGTATTTAATTATATTGATTAATCGGTCCGTGGATCGATGTACATGATCAAAATTTCGGTTTTTGGTACCGACTTCCAAAAATTAGACTAATAGGATCTTCATACCCCGTTTATAAATAAATAAATAATTGATTGACACATTGAATTCTCTTAACAATACAAGAACAATCAATACAGATAGGAAATAATCTTATTTTACACTTTTTAGAGCATATTATCTGTTTTATTTTTTTAAGGAATTCTTCTATATTATATGTTCTTCGTATGTATTAAAAAATAATAATTATTCTTCACTATTACTACCGAAATTCTATTACTTTATATTAGTCCTTACATATGAAAATGGCGTTTTTCCCCCCCCCCCCCCTTCCCCCCCCTTTCCCCCCCCTTTTTAAAAAATCCAAATTCAAATTTTTTCCTCCCTTTTTTTTTTTTTTTTTTTTTCCCTCCCCCCCCCTCTTTTTTTTTTTTTTTTTTTTTTTTTTTTCTCCCCCCCTTTTTTCCAAAAAAAAAAAAAATTATTTTTTTTTTTTTTTTCGGGGGGGGGCCGCCCCCCCGCCCCGGGGGGGGGGGGCCCCGCGGGGGGAAATATTTTTGCTTTTCTCCCCCCCCCCCCCTAATAATACCTATTTGTTGGCTATCATAAGCCTTTCAATAACGCGCGAAAAATATCATAAGCCGAGGCGACAGTGCGCTACGTTTAGAGGGAAATCATTCGGAAAATTGGATTCTTTCCGGGCGAAAAGCCACCCTGTCAGATCTAGCGGGGCTGCCTGTCACCTGGGTTTTACTAGGATTTCCTAAAGGAAAAACTAAAGTTTTATCTGAACTGAGGGATACATTTTAAATTATTTTTATTCTTTTGAA